CCTGCCCACGGGGCCTGAAAATTTATCTCCCCCACCGCCAGCCGCTCCTGCCCTCCAAACGTGCCGTTTATAGCCGGCTTCAGGCACCACTGCAGACGGAACACTGAGAACACAGAATAACTGCCGTTTGTTTTGAGCTGCGTACACTGAGCCAGCAGCAATGAAGTACTGTTTATTCACTGGGTGAACGTGGACTGTCCTCGTTCTCGTGAAGCCGATGTCTGCAGAAAGCTCTGACGACGTCCCTGGTGTCCGTCTGTCCACAACGGCAACGTTGCCGTCCCAGCGTCCTACTATGGCGGTGGAGGCATTATCTTCCAGGAAGTCAAAGGAAGATAAGTTTTCTTCACTTCTGCATACCTGAGCACAGAAAAGGTCAAATGTAACCAAAACCGTTCAACAAAATATACCGAGTTGTTGGTAATACCCCAAACACTCCGTGGGCTGCAGATTTCATGCTTTCCCTTTTTACTACACTAAAAACACTAATGAGGACTACCTGATTTGATAGCTCCAGCCTTAGCTATCCATGTAGGTAACCTTTCCGTAAAACTGGCGTGCCTTCCACAGAGGAGATAATTAACCATCCAAAACAAACCGGCAGCAACATTCTCCGACTTCTCCGTCGGAACTCTCACCTCTGTGTTCCAGTAATCAAACGGCCGTTACCCTCGAGGGCATACTGAGCGAGGATTAACGATACCGTTCCTTTCTCCAGTGCTATAGAAACCTTTAGTTGGGTGCAGAAATGTGAATTTGGCTTCCTATAATTCGGGAGATGAGTCAGGACGTCAAGCCATCTTATCCCATGGAAGTTTCCTCTCGAAGCAGCAATTAGCCACAGGTATAATAACGCTGCAGGAAAACCTCCACCTTGCAGCTCTCTCTAGGCGTGCAGACCCCCCCCGTTAGCAGCTGTATTCTTTCCAATGGCAGTCACGCTCCTAGAGGCGTCACAAGGCTGTGTAAGCTGGCATAAGGTAAATGGAGCAGGAGAACGGCATTTCTCTTCCCCCGACCTCTAAAGACACATTCTTGCAAGCATTTGCCCCAAGAAAGAGCCCCCCCAGACCCTCCTGACCAACCAACGAGCAGCTGGCCCGCCTGCAACCCCACCAAAACGACGGTGCCTGTAAGGGCTGGGGAAAAAAAGCCTTAAACTGTTGTAGCTTGTTGTATTTCCCCACGCTGGAGAGCTGATCAATGCAGAGGTATCTGTCAAAACCAAGCATCGTGAAAGCTGCTCAGTTAAGCTGTCTGGCTCACCGCGCAGACAGTCACACCGTTTCGCTCACTTGAAGCCTGAGAAAAGCAAAGTCAGCTCATGCTCTATGTTGGTTTACAATGTTTATTTGGGTGGGGATTTTTTGAAAGGTTTAGTTCTTTAAATCGCTCTTGTTTGTCATCGTTAAAAGGCAATGCTTTTGAAAAGAGGCACATATTGCTTAAGTACGGAGATATGAAATTAAATTCAATAATTGCAACTGTCTCTGCAGGAAGGAAATTGCAAGTACCCAAGCTGTTACTGTATTTTATTGACTAGGAAGCATCTCCATAGTTTTATGATGTTAATTAAAGATTACTTCATGTGTCCTTGTGGAAATGGAATCTCGAACTTTCTTGCTAACAAAACAACCAAAAAAATAACAACTTGGGTACAAGACTAAAACTTCACAGCAGCGCATACCAAGAGATTTCCGCAGCACAACTGAGGGAGCACTCACCTCATCAAAGACAGCTCTGGTAACATCCCCACATCGCAGAGTGTCATTGCTTAGAGACAGCAAGTGAGCAGGATTAAACGGAGAAAAATGCATGCAGCTGACCGGATAGTTGTGTGGAGTAAAGGCATGTGCTCCTTCTTCAGACTTACAGTTCTGAAAGACAATTGAGATTCAGTGGACACAGACGCTAATCGCTGTAGTTATTTCTATGGGTTACTGCAACTTTCAAAGCAAAGTCCCCGTTTTTCACGTGTTCTCAGTCTGCTCTGGATAACCGCACGGAGGAGGCAGGAGGGTGCCCGATGCGTGGAGGCATCGGCACAGGCAGCACGGCTGCTGCGGGGCGCAGCGTGCCCAGGCTGACGTCCTACTGCAACGACGGGAGTTGCACCTCCGCAGGGAAGAGAGCACTGCCCTCACACGGACCGCTCGGCACAGCGCTGCTGGGCTACGGCCTCCCTCCCGCCACCATTTTCACCACTATACAAGCAATTTAGCTCAAAAGAGCACTACGAATTTACTCTCCCTGTCAGAATTGTGTTTCCTAATTAGGAAAAGCTGCAATTTCCTGCTGCAATTTAAGCGCACTTCTGTCACTGCAGCATCAGTACTGTATCTGGACATCGATACCGGGCTCTTTTTTACCAACAGAATTGTTTCTCCGTTACCACAGCTGAACACCTTGCTGAGGACCAAACATATGCGTATGCCATTTACATCAAAATACGTACATATTAGGTTACTTAGAACTCAAGCTAGTGCCCCAAAATAGTGTATAGGGATAGCGCCCCAAACTGAATGGAAAGCACAATCCCCTATATCTTCTCTTCTAATTTTGGCATCGTTCAAGCTCTGTTATTTTAAAAGAAAATGAATAGATCATTTTGGAACAAGTACCAGTTAATTCCACAAGGATTACTCTGCTCCCAAACTTGGTCAAGTCCAACTCACTTCAGGAAAGTAAAAAAAAAAATGGGAGAGCAAAAGGGAAAAGAGTAGCTTTAACAGCTCTAGGCTTCCACTGAAATGTCTTTGCAAGGCCACAAAGAGAGCCTGCGGCACCCGGAGACCACAGCCTCCCCGTCACCAGATCACACTCTTCAACAGGCAGCGACCGCAGCTGCACAGGCAGAGCTTCCTAAATTGCATGGAGCATTTTAAACTTCTTTATAATTGAATACGAGTCTCAGAGCTGAATTTAGTTGATCGGTTTGCTGAAGCTGCCAGAGCAGAAACGACTCGAGAGAAACTCGAGAGTTTAGTGGCACTGCGAAAAATGAGAAGATCCGCGTGCGCGTGAACTTCAAGCGGCGGGTCTGGATGAGGTGGGATCAGAGCGGAGGGTGCATGGGGAGGTGACAAAGGTGTAAGTCAAGGGTGCGAGTAAGGATTCTTGCTGCAGAAGTAATTAAGGCAATTCAGAAACAACACCGAGACTATCTGCAAAGCCCTCAGAAGTTTTCAAAGCACCAAAAGCTAAGCTATTTTTCAGAGACAAGGTATGTAAGTATGTGCCGGCAGACATATTGGCATAGCAATTTTATCTCTGCTGTTTGGAAAACCAGCGACTTACTGCAGCTACCCACAATTTGTACAAACTCAAAACCCAAATATGTGAGCATCCGTTTCCCCTCACTCTCCCAAACCTGGTTGTGGTATTGCTACAAAGGTACTGTAATTAGATTCTGAATCTCTCAACCGTGAATTGCAATTTTAACCCTCACTGATAACATTATTTCAGCTAGTGATCCATTTTCTTCCGCGCTGCCCCCAAAAATTACCAGCACAACCTTCTCTGCCACTAAACCTGGGCTCGCCAAAGACCAGACCGACCTTTCGAGCAATCCTGGCGAGCCTCCATTTAACAGACACCCCGGCGTCATCTGCAAGAACGGGGAAAGCCTCAAATACCATCCCGAGCCTGACAAAATGACGCTCCAGGCTGTGCCCCATCTGCGTCCATCCTGCAACAAACAGCTCTGCCAGGCGAAGAGCACGCTGACAACTCACCACATTCCAGAGACCGATCTGCCCGAACTTGTCTCCAGCTGCCACGAAGATGATGCTTTCAGAAGGATGGATAGCCATAGAGCATACTCGATATTTCACCACCTTTTTAATGTTATCTTCACTGAGGACCATGCTGTTCAGGCTGTCTTGGTACCTAGATAACATCATTAAATGTCAGCTATTCAAGAGAAGAAAGAAGGAGAAGACGACAATACCCAGTTTTTAGCTGCTGTCTTTGGATTACCTTTTCATGTCACACGTGTGCTTTTCAGTATCATTAGCTTTCATCTACAGATAGAAGGGAAATATTTATCAGGATTAGAACCCAAGATAAATTACGCTATCCAAAAATAACGACTTGTAACTAACAATACCTCACTTATCCTCATCCATGTAGCCAGTAAGTCCTCTGTCAATTTACTGTTCTCCGTCTGGTCTTCCGGAACCATCGGCAAAGGTCCGGCTGGAACTTGAGGCTGGAATGACAGTAGCAATTTTTGTAACTCGAAACAACTAAAATTACAAATGGGGTGAATTGTTACTTCCCACACACCAGATATTTTGGGAACACACCTGTGACAAGAAATAAACATAACAACAACAAAGTTTGTATCAAACCTTATTACAAAGATAAACAGAAATTTACTGAACACAACAGCAAAGACAAATAGCTACCCTATGTTTGTTCCTCTCCTGATATTCCAAGCAAGGTTGATCTTCAAGAACTGTATTACAAAGATTCAGCTTTATTCTACAGCACCATGGAAGATTTAAATTCCCATCTCTCGGAGCGACAGAATTTTTACTTGTTTCGATATAGCTACTTCAAAAAGGTAGTAAATATTTCAAAGAAAAATAAACCAGATCAAAAGTTACAGTGAAATAACATTAAAATGGAGTAATAAAACTTTGAATTTAAAGCTGCTCAAATCTATGGGCTGTTGAAAAATGCGTAACATTTTACCTCAGGACCCTTCTGATGATCCAAAACTGCACCATTCCATCAACTCGAGTGACAGAATACTGACCGACTGTCAGAGAGGACACGGGAAGCCTGCTAGTCATGATGCTTCAGGGTGAAAGAATTTACCTTTTATCATCGCCACTGTACAACGCACCGTCCCAAACGCCTAAAGGTTTTTACAATAAGCTCAGCAATGACAAGTATTATCCGTCAACTTCACCAGCACCGTTTTTATAAAACTTCTATCTATACGCACACACGTGTCCTCTAACCCTTCCCCGTAACGCTTACATATTCTGGCTGGGCAGGCATCTCCGGCACTGGAATTCCTGACGGTTCTACTCTTTGCAAGCGCATCGATCTTCGACGCACTGGTTCATCTTCTGCCTTTTTAGGCTTAGCTCTAGAAGAATTGAAAACAGTTCAAAATTACAGACACGGTTATGTTAATAAGTTCTCTGCATTTAAGTACAAGACTACAGAGGAGGCTCAGATGTGTAGCTCTAACACCTCGGCCCAGACTCACAGCCTAACTACTTCTGGTTCGCTTTAGGAGGGCTGCGATTACTTTTCCCTTCAGCAATAGCAAAGAACAACAAAAAAAAGCACTTCACAATGCATTTGCGTTTTTGCTTCGCTTGTAATACATCCTGCCCTTGTCGCTCCTCTTCCCAGCCCTCTTTATTTGTAATTCATCTTTCCACTCATTGAGCTAGTCATCTCTTTCCCCTTTCCTTCATCATATATCTTACTCTTTATTTGGGCTTAAGCTCATTTTTCTGCTTTGCCTGGCACTGTTTTGGCACCACCAAATGTCTTGTCTTCTACACTAACTGGTTACCCTATCCCTTGCATCTAGTTCTTCCCCTTCCTTCCCCACATCTTTTCCCCACCACTTGTTTCCATCATTTAACATTTCTTTCTTTAGCCATCATGCCAAAATATGATCGGAAAAAAGAACTGCACTTGAAATACCTTAAGACAAATATCACAAAAAGAACAAATTCTGTCATTTGACAAAAAAGATGTTCATACTGTCATTTTCTATCCAAAGGACGGCAGAGGAGAGGCACTACCTAGAGGAGCGACCTGTTCCTGAGTTCATACAGCTTAAGATAATCAGTTATTCAGATTTAGCTTTACAGGGAGACTCCTCGCTAGCTCTCCCCTTCGCAGTATCAGGTACGTGCAGATGAAGTGCTGAAGCATCCAACACACAACGAAGGTGCAATGATACAAATCTCATATACAGTTATCTTACCTTTTGGTGACGTGGGATTGTCTTTTAGTTGCAATTTGATGAAGTCTTGCAGCTGACTTAATGAGAAAAAAAAAAAAGATTAAAAATATATATAACAGGCATGAAGGATTAACCTGTATGAAATACAGCTATCTAAAGGTGACAATAAACTATATTGCAATTATTTATTACAAGGATAAAAGGGGATTTTTAAGCATCGACCCGTGTTGTGTCCGCTTTGCTTCCATGTGCCAGCAAGAATTCCCCGATTTCTGCGAAGGGCGCGCAGGAGCACAGCACAGCCTGGGTGTTCTGTAGCCCTTCTCTTTACGGAACACAGAAAATACCCTACATGCCACGCACCAGATGCGGACATTTATAGGAGAACCTGTAACCTCCATTCACAGTGTTCTCTCCGCCACATTTTGAAGACAGGCCTTTGGTTCATTTGGACTCCAGAAAAGTTTAGACACGTCCAGCTCGCCGCTAAGACCACTGCTCCGCTGCCACTCCAGCCAAAGCGGCGTCAAGCCGGGCATGAAAAGATTTATCTGCTTCTTGGGGCTGGCAGCCCGCACCGGCCAGCACTAATGGTAACCGAGACGGCTATAGCCCCTTTTGCTGGTCTTGGCTACTCTGCGGTCAGTGCTGCGATTACAGTCAGACTGCCTAGTCTTTCCTGACCTCTCCGAGGATAACTGGAAGAAAAGGAATTATTTTTACTCAAATTTCAGTCTTGGTGGTAAGGAGCCTTGCTGCCTACGAGGCAGGCCCAACCACGTCTTGCAGCCTGGTATAATGAGCAAGCAAGCGTGCAGCCATTCGAGGAGGTAATTCACTCACTGCTGCCAGAAAAGGGATATATTATGAATTAAAAAAAAATAACGATGTAAGAGAATGAAGGAGTGCAGAAAGAAGGGTAGAGATTCGGACCGACTTATGCGATAGCATTTGAAATTCCACTGCCTTAACCTTCTAGACAACTTCTCCAACATGAGAACTGTAACGCCCTTGTGCCCCCCCAGATTAGATACGAGACGGGGAGGGACTCCAGCAGCACCCGCCCCGCCGGCTCTTCCCAAGAGCCTCTCAAGCACAGGGTGGTGAACCGCCCCGACAGCCCGAGACCCGGCGCCTCGCAGGACCCCCAGCTAGGTAACCAGCTAACCCGCACGCGCTGCGCCGAAAACGCAGGAGCAGAACGCCCTCCCCGGGGAACGCAGGGGACGGGAGGGGTGGGAGCGCACCTGAGGCAAGCGAGCAGGACGCTGCACGTGCGGCACTCACGCTGCCCACAACGCAAGCGCCTCCGCACGAGCATTTTACCCCAGGGTCGCCTCACCCGGCCCTGCTGGGTCCCGCAGGCGCCAGCGCGGCGGGGTGCCGCCGGTACGGAATACCGCAGGAGCGGAGCTTGGCTTTCTTCGCTTTTTGTAAGTTTAACCCAGGACTTCCCCCTCTTTGGAAAAAGCTAACTAGCAGCACAAAACCCCATTTTTTAATGCAGTCAGGGCAGTCCTGATGCCTCTGAGGTTTTTGTGGCCTTCCTCGGGCACCTGCCGCTGCCAGGGAAGGGTTTCACAACGAGAGGGATGACAGCACAACTATTACACTTGGAGAGCGCGTTTTGATGCTACTTAGAATCTATACAAACCTCATGCAGCTTTAAAGCAGCAAAGAATTTAGCATTTTCTGAAATGTTCTTTAGTCTCTTCCTTTCATAAGCTGATAACTGTGGGTATCCATCCTACAAAAAGAAAAGCCAATTACTCATCGTACAGTTACACGGCCTGCAAGAGATGTCCCAGGCTTCTGGGACGCAAGTCTCTAAACTGATTGTCTGAATTACATAAAAGTGGTTCGACAGATTTGTAAACAAACAAAGAAAATATACAAACCGAGGCGATCCCATATCAATACCCAAACCTGCCCATATAGGTACTGGCCTGCATTACAAAACTTTACTCCCAGCATTAATTCTACAAAAAGGGCAGCTCATCAAAATCTTGCTGGAACGAAAACAATACTGAAGCGACTCAACAAACAACTTAGAACTGCAGCAATACAGCCGACATTGCACATCAACGGAATACAGTCTTAGATCATGTTTATCCTTCATAGAGAAGGTGGACTTGACAAGGCGAAACGATGATTTAAACATAAACGAACATTGACAAAAGCATCCTATCTTATGGCTGCATCCATCCGTACGAACGCCTGGACGGCGGTTACTGCCAGCGCAAGAACAGGCCGCTGCTTTTGCTGCCGGGTTTTAGGTGCTCCGACCGACAGCAAGAGCGGATTTTTCATCCCTTGGACATTCTGAAAGGGTAAAATGAAGCGGTGCGCGGCCAGTCGGAGAGGTTAAAAAGACAAAAAGGATCGCATAAAGAGGAAAAACACTGCCAAAGCGTACTTGGATAAACACAGCAGGCGCGCGCCTCCAGAGCCGCAACCCGCCCCCTTCCCCCGCTGCAGGCGAGGGG